AAAAAAAAAAAAAAAACAAACTCACTTCATTATTCCCTTTATTGCTGCTTGGATCTCTAAACTTTCAATAATAACTTTTTTTTTTTTGTATAGTTCTTCTGCGTATTCTAGCCACCTCTTCTTAATATCTTTTGCTTCTTTTAGGTCCAGACCACTTCTGTCCTTTATTGTGCCCATTTTTGCATGAAATGTTCCCCTGGTATGTCTAATTTTCTTGAAGAGATCTCTAGTCTTTCCCATTCTATTGTTTTCCTCTATTTTCTTGCACTGATCCCTGAGGAAGGCTTCCTTATCTCTCCTTGCTATTCTTTGGAACTCTGCATTTGGATGGGTATATCTTTCCTTTTTCTTTGCCTTTAGCTTCTTTTCTTTTCTTACCTATTTGTAAGGCCTCCTTGGACAACCATTTTGCCTTTTTGCATTTCCTTTTCCTGGGGATGGTGTTGATCACTGCCTCCTTTACAATGTCATGAACCTCCATCCATAGTACTTCAGGCACTCTATCAGGTCTAATCCCTTAAATCTATTTGTCACTTCCACTGTATAATCATTAGGGATTTGACTTAGGTCATACCTGAATTTAGGTATTTAGGTCATACCTGGTCTAGTGGTTTTCCCTACTTTCTTCAATTTCAGTCTGAATTTGGCAATAAGGAGTTCATGATCTGAGCCACAGTCAGCTCCCGGTCTTGCTTTTGCTGACTATAGTATAGAGCTTCTCCATCTTCAGCTGCAAGGAATATAATCAACCTGATTTCAGTATTGACCATCTGGTGATGTCTATGTGTAGAGCCTTCTCTTGTGTTGTTGGAAGAGGGTGTTTGCTATGACCAGTGAATTCTCTTGGCAAAACTCTGTCAGCCTTTGCTCTGTTTCATTTTGTACTCCAAGGCCAAATTTGCCTGATACTCCAGGTATCTCTTCCTATTTTGCATTCCAGTCCCCTATAATGAAAAGGACATATTTTTTTTGGTGTTAGCTCTAGAAGGTCTTGTAAGTCTTCAGAGAACCATTCAACTTCAGCTTCTTTGGCATAAGTGGTTGGGGCATAGACTTGGATTACTGTGATATTGAATTGTTTCCTTGGAAATGAGCAGAGATCATTCGGTCATTTTTGAGATTGCAACCTAGTACTGCATTTCAGACTCTTTTGTTGACTATGAGGGCTACTCCATTTCTTCTAGGGATTCTTGCCCAGAGTAGTAGATATAATGGTCATCTGAATTAAATTTGCCTATTCCAGTCCATTTTAGTTCACCTATTCCTAAAACATTGATACATTCATATAAAATGTTAATACATTTTTATACAAAAACTATACAGAAAAGATCTTAATGACCCAGATAAGCAAGATGGTGTGATTACTCACCTAGAGCCAGATATCCTGGGATGAGAAGTTAAGTGGGCATTAGGAAGCATCACTACAGACAAAGCTAATGGAGGTGATGGAATTCCAGTTGAGCTCTTTCAAATCCTTAAAGATGATGCTGTGAAAGTGCTGCACTCAATATACCAGCAAATTTGGAAAACTCAGCAGTGGCCACAGGACTGGAATAGGTTAGTTTTCATTCCAATCCCAAAATAAGGCAATGCCAAAGAATGTCAAACTAATGCACAGTTGCACTCATCTCATGCCAGCAAAGTAATACTCAAAAATCTCCAAGCGAGGCTTCAATAGTATGTGAACTGAGAACTTCCAGATGTTCAAGGTGGATTTAGAAAAGGCAGAGGAACCAGAGATCAAATTGCCTACATCCATTGGATCATAGAAACAGCAAGAGAGTTCCAGAAAATCATCTATTTCTGCTTTATTGATTATGCCAAAATCTTTGACTTTGATCACAACAAATGTAGACAGTTCTTCAAGAGATGGGAATACCAGACCACCTTACCTGTCTCCTAAGAAATCTGCATGTCAAGAAGCAATAGTTAGAACAGACATGGAACAATGGACTGGTTCCAAATTGGGAAAGGAGTATGTCAAGACTGTATTTTGTTACCCTGCTTATTTAACTTATATGCAGAGTACATCATGCAAAATGCCGGACTGACTGAAGCAGAAGCTGGAATCAAAATTTCCAGGAGAAATATCAATAACCTCAGATACACAGATGATATCACACTTATGGCAGAAAGTGAAGAGGAACTAAAGAATTTCTTGATGAAAGTGAAACAGGAGAGTGAAAAAGTTGGCTTAAAACTCAACATTCAAAAAACAAAGATCATGGCATCCGGTCCCATCACTTCATGGTAGATAGATGGGGAAACAGTAGAAACAGTGAGAGACTTTATGGGGGGCTCCAAAATCACTGCAGATGGTGACTGTAGCTGTGAAATTAAAAGATGCTTGCTCTTTGGAAGAAAATCTATGACCAACCTAGACAGCATGTTAAAAAGCAGAGACATTACTTTGCTGAAAAAGGTCCATTTAGTCAAAGCTATGGTTTTTCCAGTGGTCATGTATGGATGTGAGAGTTGGACTATAAAGAAAGCTGAGTGCTGAAGAGTTGATGCTTTTGAACAGTGGTGTTGGAGAAGACTCTTGAGAGTCCCTTGGATTGCAAAGAGATCCAACTAGTCCAACCTAAAGGAAATCAGTCATGAATATTCATTGGAAGGACTGATGCTGAAGCTGAAGCTCCAAAATTTTGTCCACCTGATTGGAAGTACTGACTCATTGGAAAAGACCCTGATGCTTGAAAAGACTGAAGGCAGGAGGAGAAGGGGACAAGAGAGGATGATATGGTTAGATGGCTTCACTGACTCGATGGATATGAGTTTGATTAAGCTCCAGGAGATGGTGACTGACAGGGAAGTCTGGTGTGCTGCAGTCCATGGGGTTGCAATGAGTCGGACATGACTGAGTGACTGGACTGAACTGAATAATAATTTTGCCAACATAAAATTTGAAATTGAAAGACGTATCAGTCTTCTGTTTATGCTTGATTGAGAATAAATTTAAACTCGCTAAAGCAGCAATGTGGAGATCCTGCAAATGCTTGGAAAGTGAAGGGACTTGGTGAGAACAGAACACTCTAGAAGGAAGTGAGGACCCTGGAGAATTGGTTTCTTGGGGATGTTCTTCAGGCTTCTTCCCTTTAGAAGGACCAGGCTGGGGTGCTCTCATGCCATTGGCTCTCCCAGTTTGTGTCTGAGATGAGTCTCTGGAAATGAGGGAGTGCCTCCTAGTACGGCTGTCCCAGCCCAGGAAGACTGTCAATGGGCTCCCACTGTTCTCGCCTCTTGAGTTGAAAATTAAAAGCCCACTCAGCACCTCAAATGCACAACTGATGGTCAAGACCACCTCTGAGGATGCTTAGAGATGGACTGTGTGCATCTGAAGGCATGTGAAACACCCATGGGAACCTTGGTAGATGCTCATAAAACCACCAGGTCTGATGGCTCCCTGCAGGATCTAAGGCATAGTTTGAAATCAAAATAAATGAGAAAGGTCAATAGCCAGGGTTCCCCCTCACTCCATGTGATACATATTCTTCGAGAAGGAAGAGCATTTGCACTTCTTGTATAGTTTTCTATCTTCTTACATAATTTCTTTGAGAATTTGCCTAAGTCCCATTTTAAAATAGGGATATAATCTTGGACACTATGGCTACAATATTAAGAAAATGGTTTCTTCAAAATAGCGTAGGAATTGATACAACCACTTTGGAAAATAGAATATCTACTAAACTTGAACATATGCATATCCTAAGATCTAGCACTTCCTCCACTATAAAGCATAAAAGTGCTCAAAACTCATGCATTAGAGTGCTCAGGGTAGGATGGTACCTAATGGACTCCAATTGGAAACTATCCACATTTCCTTCAAGAAGGGACTGAATAAATAAATTTCTGTGTATTCACTGTATGGTGAACTATACACAATGAAAATAAACAAAAAACTACATAAAAAATAGAGATAAAACTCACAGCCATCAGCACTGAGTGAAAAAAGACATGAACAAATATATTTATATTGCATAATTCCTTTTATATGAAGTGCAGATGCAGGCTAAGTAAGCTACATTGTCAGAAGTCAAGATGGTGCCTATCCCTGGGGTTTGGTTTCTGTAAGGGAAAGTGAAAATCATTCAGTTGTGTCCATCTCTTTGTGACCCCATAGACTATAGAGTGCATGAAATTCTCCAGGCCAGAATACTAGAGTGGGTAGCCTTTCCCTTCTCCAGGGGATCTTCCCAACCCAGGGATCGAACCCAGGTTTCCTGCATTGCAGGCAGATTCTTTACCAGCTGAGCTATCAGGGTGTCTGTAAGGGAGCACCATAAATGCATAAGGGATGCTTGTAAAACTATTTTTTCTTGATCTGAGTACTGATTATCTATTACATTACTTTGTAAAAATTGAAATTTATACTTATGTGCTTTTTCTGTGTGTATCTAAACAACGACTAATTTTATGTTCTTTTACAAATTAGTAAATATATGATTTTCTTTCATACGAGACAGTGCAGATCTCTACATATCAGGATGACATTATCATTCAGAGGCATATACTTTAGTGCTGTTTTTCTTTTGCTGAAACTGGAGACTCTTTCAGGGAGGATAAGATAAGAATCCCTGTAACAGCCAGGATCTGAAAACCCAAAGAGATTCTATATAAACCTAACGATAAGTCATGACCTCAACTTCCTTAGTGCTGGCTTGAAGTTAAATTGTATAAGTTCATGAAGCAGTATACTTTAGTTAACACAGAATGTGTATCCAGATTGGAGAAGGAAATGGCAACCTACTCCAGTATTCTTGCCTGGAGAATCCCATGGACGGAGGAGCCTGGTAGGCTACAGTCCATGGGGTCGCAGAGTCGGACACGACTGAGCGACTTCACTTTCACTTAAGGTCATACTTATATGTCTTTAACTCAGTGACCCCAGGAGGACATATAAAATATTGAAAATGTGGCTGTTCAGAAAATAAAGGCTATTTTTACATGCATAAAGAATATTTTTCCACCTCCTTTGTGATAATCAATGATCAGTTATTTCAGCAGTTGAACCAGCTGTTAGCATCCAGGAAAGCCAAAATTCTCTTTGTTTTAGGATCAAATTTGTACTGCCTCGATCCTTGAAAAAGTAGAAATTTCCTAAAAAAAAAAAGCAAGAGAGAGAGAGATTAGGTTTTTTCACATGAGCTTTCCTGAAAAGACAGTAATTTCCATGCCCAAATTATATATTTAAAATGTTCTTATCAAAACAACAAAGCCCATGTTTTGTTGTTGATTTTTAGGGTAGCAAAATGAAGAAATTGAACAGTCTTAACCTTCATGTTCGAAAACAGCATCAACTTTTCCGCTAATCCCAGGGAAGTCTTGAGCTATCTCTTTGGGATAACCTGCATCCATGGACTTCCTGTTTTCATCATACCTGGTAAAAAAAAATGGGTTAGAAATATTAGAATGTATGATTAATATAATAACAACAAATAACACTTAGCATTCCCAAACAACTTTTCATGTGTCAGTGTCTGTTCTAAGTGCTTTGAGCATACTCATTCATTTAATCTTCACAACAAATCCGAGAGGTAGGTGCTACTCTTGTCCACTGTACTGAAATCCAGTGGCTGCTTAAAACAATGGGTGCATCATTGTTTTAAAATAATAGGAACTTTTAACTGTAAAAGTTCCTGGTTCAATAGGGTTGTGGGAGACTGAGACAGTCTAGAGCACACCTGAAGAGGCATCAGCTCTAACAAATCCGATTCAAATTTCATCTCGGGCTCCAGCCCTTTAAAAAAATCTCCTCTGGAACTCAATCCTGCAAGTCCCTTGCCTTCCAAGGACAGGTGTGGTATGATGACAGCAAACACAGACTAAATGACACTCAGCCTGGCTGTAACCATTCGCAGAAGATGGATATTTCAGCAGAATATGAACATAACTTAAAAGGGCACTTTTCTTCTTCCACTACGGAGGGGTCTGATGTGTAAGATCTCCAGGGGTCTGTCTTTACCTCCAGTACTCATTGTCAACAAAGAAGTACGTCTTTCCGGTTCCCTTGTCACAGACGGCAGCATCGACATTCCTCACCCTTCTAGGGAAGCCAAAGGAACTGTAGATGTTCCTGGGGTAACTGGGCAGCATCACATCTGCCTTAGCAACCCAGTATTTACTGCCTGTCAACCAAAAAAAAGGTGGTCGTGAAATGATTTGCCTGAGACTCTGGCGGTCAGTAGGCAGGTTTCCTCCAGACGTTCGCTTCACAAGAAGTGGAAGGAGGGCTTTATTCCAAAGTGAGGTGCCCCTGAGTTGGGCATTTCTCCGTCGTGGCTTAGTTTCTCTCTAGTGGCTCACTTCTCCAGCTGCCCAGGGAGTGTGGGTGGGCACAAGTGGTCCTACAGGCCAGAAGTGGAATGCATGTTTCCATGTCCCACTGGACAGCACCCCTGAGCTCTTGGCTTGCCTGTTCCTGGAAGAGTATTCTTTATGAGCCAGGGTGATGCTATCTAAATGCACATTATATATCTGTCCTTATTTTTGTGGCACATGTGTTGGACAGTATGTTTAAAAATTCTTTGCTTATTACAAGTGGTTTTAATTATTTACCTTAATGCTATTAGGATTAATTGTCTTACTCTTTTGTGCATACAAAGCCAAACATCTGAATTATTTTCTAAGAACCCAGACGTTTGGCAGCATATACACAAAGTATGGCTGAATGTTGGAACATAATTGGATCTAAGAGAATCAAAGCAGTCTATACCTGGAATTTATGGACAGTGGCCCATCTATAAAGATGTGCAGTTTATGAGAAGGGTAAGCTGTCAACTTCCCTCAAACTATTAATATAATGTCTATTAGGAGGATTTCTTAAAAAAAAAAAAAAACCAAGGACAAAGTTTTCTTAATTTCCTTTAGGTCTGATATGGGTCTCCCTACTTTTTTCTCAGCATCCTGGAAAATATGTATTTTTAAAACATGTGGAATGCCCAAATACAGCAATTCCTACTTCCAGTTTCATAATCAAAAAAAAAAAAAGGAAAAGTTAAATTGCTAGCTATTTGATTTTTATTCTAATTACTCAGCATGTCATTTTAAATCACAATAACAAATACTCCTTGATTCAGTAGTTAAGACTTTGAGGTTTTAAGAAAAAAATCCATGAGGAGAAAGTGTGCAGCCACTGTTACTTTGGTGCAGCATCAGTTGGATGGCATCGCCAACTCAATGGACATGAGTTTAAGTGAACTCTGGGAACTGGTGATGGACACGGAGGCCTAGTGCAGTGTAGTCCATGGGGTCGCAAAGAGTCAGGCATGACTGAGTGACTGAACTGAATTGTTGCTTCTCAATCCAAACCAATAGTAAATTGTTTCATAAAAAAGGGGGAAATTCAGTGGTATTACCTTTGAAAAAAAGGACTTCATCTTTTTCAGGAACATCATAAGCTGCCTCAATCCCACTTGACAGATCTGGCCAGAAAGCAGAGATGAACACGACTTCGACACTTGGGTAGTACGGATAAACATGGATGATGAAACTGATTTGAAAAGAAACCAAAAAAAAAAAAAGATAATTACTGGCATTCTCTGCTGCCTCTCAGTTCCTTCTGTCCCTGGAACACAAGATTATCATCCAATGTGGTAAGCACTTACGAATTACACTATGACTTATCTCACAAACATCCTACATGGAAGCTCTTGTTGCTCCTATTTTATAGATGAGAAATTGAAGCCACACAGTTCATAAGAGGCAAAGTACAATTTTTAAACCAGATTTGTAAGGTTGCCCAGACTAAGTTCTTTTCTTTTATTATCTTTCAGTTGAGAATTCTGCCATGTTCATTCCGCAGTCGACAGAGACAGGGAAACAGAACAGCAGAGACTTCCATGTGGGCTAACACACGTGTCCCCAAAACTACAGAAACGGAACAGAAGCCCCATTGCCAGCCAGCCTTGGGGAATGACAGAGGATCCTACAAAGTCTGACGCATGGAAAGAACCCTCCTTGTCAGTCTCTGGAGCAGACCCTCGAATGGAAGCCCCATAGCCAGCCAGCCTTGGAAAATGATACAGGATCCTACAAAGGCTGATGCGTGGCAAGCACCCTCCTTGTCAGTCTCTGGAGCAGACCCTCCTGATGCCAAATCCCTGGGCCACCACCAGATGTGCAGCTCTGACAGATGGTCCCCATCGTCCCCCCCCCCCCCC